TATTTGTAAGAACTGTAACATGTACTTAGAAAGTTAGCGAACACTTCATTTGGCGTTGAATCATGGTCTAAACGGTGTTTTTCTGACTCAATTAGAGGACCGACTCATTTCTGACGCAGCAACGTTGAACTTTTGATAAAGCACGCATTTGTATTAGTTACATTTGTGGAAAATGTACGGGCTATCCTTTTATGAAATTCGGTACGACCAAGCATTGTGTGCTTTGTAAATATGGAATTTTTCAATTTGGTTTCATCCCCTGAGATGGTGTCACCTGGTGTAGTACGCGCCCCCCCCCCCGGTCCCCCGCGCATTCCCCTATCTACGCTACTGGCCCTTGAATTTACGGAGCGTTGGTCAAGGAATATATATCGCATCGTTTGTGAATCAAAGACCTATCAGCGAAATCGGAGCGTCTCCGAGGAAACTTGGGGGCGTCCACATGGGATTTTGCCTCTTCGTGGCGTGGCAGACTAGCAGGGAGGTATTGTCCCCCCCCCCGAAGCTAAAAAAACCACGGCCACTTGCATGACTCCCAACGCAACGGGAGTAACGCAATAACATGATTACTGTTTGTGAATCAAAGACCTATCAGCGAAATCGGAGCGTCTCCGAGGAAACTTGGGGGCGTCCACATGGGATTTTGCCTCTTCGTGGCGTGGCAGACTAGCAGGGAGGTATTGTCCCCCCCCCCCGAAGCTAAAAAAACCACGGCCACTTGCATGACTCCCAACGCAACGGGAGTAACGCAATAACATGATTACTTGTTGCCGTTAATGTATATGAGGTCTGGGTGGTGGTTAAAACCCATTCCGATGATTTTAGCTACCCGGCCGTGAGAAAGCCGCTCCTAGGCGACCGTTTCGTCCCAGCTTTCGTCCCGACCGGTCGACTTCCTGGACGGTGGGGGAAGGCAACGCAACATCTCTCTTCCCCCCCCCCCACGGAGTGGAAGCAAATCCGTTCTGACCCAACAGGAGAGTGGACCGCGAACGCTTTATACACATCGTTTTCAGTCAACCTGACGTCCCTCAGGTCAGGGGGGAGGTTCCCGACGTGCTGGCCCGTGTGGAGGTGTGCCCCGGGGGTGGGGGAGGTATTAAGAGCTCGCGCTCGACGAACCACCGACACCATATCCCAATGCGACGTTATTAGTGAATCAAAGACTGCACGATCTACAGGTGGGAAAAAACACAACCCCACTTTTTGTTTTATTTCATGGCTTTGATAAACGCGCGCATAAATGATGAGAACTAAACACCAATTCTCAATTTAATTAATTGGAAAAACTTAAAGGTGATTATGATCACCTTCAATTGCGCGACGTATAGATGGTTTGGTATGGGTATAATCATTGTAACTGTATAGGCCAATTTCGTTGGTACAACGCAGGGGTTGGTAAATCGCGGCTCGCGAGCCGCATGCGGCTCTTTAGCGACATGAGTGCGGCTCGGTCAGTCGGCCACAAATCGGTTTTGACTCCGAAAAACATGGTTCTTGACAGCTTCTTCAATAGAAATTTGGCTCTCAAATATTTTTTTTTTCTTTTAAATCGTGCTGCTAATGATTATTGGCTCTTTTGACTAATGAGTTTGCCGACCACTGGTCTAATGGAATTCTAGGGTCGCTGGACTTGACACATGGTTTAGCATGTATAAAAAGTGTTGGGGGGGGGGGCTTTTCTTGTATAAAATAAGATAAATCATCGATTAATGCTATGAATTAAGACACTTATTGATTTCGGAGAACATTTTAGCACTTTTTTAAATAAAAAAAAATAGTTATTTTAATTTGTGCGATGTCTTTATTCTTCATATTAATATTTTGTGATACATAAATATACCAACTTAATTTCTTAAAATTTAAAATATAAAAGAATATGTTTTCCAGCTAATCTCTTCCTGTCTGATTAGCTCCCTAATATGCATGTGTATTTCAGTTCGAGATTAAGCAGACAATGTAAACAGTTTGCTGCACGTAAATGCCATGAAAGATATATAATATATACAAAAAATGTGTCTACATAGTTCAAGAGCACGATGCAACCATGCCCTATAATGGACATGAATTGGCTCTATTTAACATCAGACTAGCGGCAGTCAACAGAGGGTTAACATTAGATCCAAGTCAAACAAACAGATTTAGACTCATGAACTTCCGGGATCAAAATGTAAAAAGTAAACATTCAATATTTTACCTCATTTCCTCATATGATTCTTCGACTTTTATTGTTTTGAAAGCTAAATTTGGTTATTACGAGATCAGCATTTGATAAAGTTAAAAAAAAAAAAAGAAGCATTTATTTAAAAGAAGACAGTCAGTTTTGAGGTAAGGATCGCAAAAATTGTGTTCAAGAACGATGGCAATATGAACAGGGGCGCTAAATGTTATAGGGCGTAACAGCAATACGTGATAAATATATGAGAAAGTTGGGCTCTCTTTTAGGCATAAATTGCTGACATAGAATGCATCCTATTCGTAGCAAGAAGTTTACAGCATTGCGTTGGTCACAAAGGGGAATAAAGAAAACACATTGCCGACGGACATATGACTAAAAAAAATGTCTATACTAGGTCGGGAATGATAGTTTCATGGTATCAGTGTTGAAGCCAATACACAATTTAAAGTTTATGTATCAAATAAACAATAAAACAAAATCAAACAAAAAACACCGAGGCAGTGGCGCAGCTAGGTGGTGCGGACCATCTCGCTGCAGGGGGGGTGGGGTGGGGTGACACCAAATTGAAAAATTGCATATTTCACAGATCACATGTTGCTCGGTATAACCGATTTTTAAAAAGGGATAACCGATCATGCGTAAATTTCCCATATTTAACCGACCCAAATGCGTGCTTTAGTTAAAGTTCAACGTTGATGTGTCAGAAAATGACGTTATCCTCTAATAAGGTCAGAAAGAAAAAACAAAAATTTTGGCCTAGATTCAACGCCCAATGAAATGTTCGGTAACTTTCGTAAGTGACGGGACTCTATATAAATTATTAGAAATAAAGCTTTAGACTGATATCAAATACGATTTGGTAGGTCAGTTGTAAGTATATGTTACAGTTCTTAAATACATTTACATTCTGACCTTCAAGTATTTTTTTTTGTTCTTGTCATTGTTATACGGTAGACTTTTGTTAACAAGAAGAAATCCATCGTGGAAGTGTGTGTGTGTGTGTGGGGGGGGGGGGTGACATCATGAGTGGCACCGGGGGACACCAAACCTAGCGACGCCACTGCACTTAGGTGCGTGCTATAGATTTTAACGTAACTTTTTGGAAACCATGCTTTAAATGAATTTTTCAAAATTAATTTAATGTCATTGTTATACGGTAGACTTTTGTTAACAAGAAGAAATCCATCGTGGAAGTGTGTGTGTGTGTGTGGGGGGGGGGGTGCCATCATGAGTGGCACCGGGTGACACCAAACCTAGCTACGCCACTGCACTTAGGTGCGTGCTATAGATTTTAACGTAACTTTTTGGAAATCATGCTTTAAATGTATTATTCAAAATTTAATTAAACTGGACCAAGAACGTTTAATTTCATCTATAGTGGGCGTAATAGATTCAAAATCATGAAAAAAACCAAAAAAAACAACAACAACCTCGGATCTTTCCGATAAATTTATCGTACGCACCATAAAGCACTAGGCCAGCCCGTGTTTAAACAATATGGCTGGCTTGGTCTTTATCATTTTTCTTGGAATTGAAAACATATGCATGTCTGATGAACATTTTACACACGTAACATCACTCAGGCAAGATTCTAAATCACGTCCATTACCCTTCTTCGCTTGAGTAAACTTTCACGACACGCGGTCATGCGCAGTCTGGTGATGCTTGGCAATGACACGTATTTTATTATTTATTTTAATTTACGTGATTATTATTTTATTAAGTTTCTCCCGAACTTTCTAAAAAAAAAAATCTTACAATAATTGATTTTCACTTTCCCACCCGAACCCTCTTTGGAAACATTGTTATGAATGACACCGAATATGAAATCTCCTTTCGCATTGGCCCCTCTCAAAGTCTTTTTGCTATTTGCCAATAGTTACTTGATGAAATTTTCTTTTGGGTGGACTCTCGTATAGCCTATAACCAATTTATCTTTTCGCTTGCTATCGCTGATGTATGCATATAGTTCAAAATAATAAATAAAATAAGCGTTCTGTTCAAGCTTTCAACCAACTAAAGCAGGTGTAGCTTTTCAAGCCTGTAAACAGATCTAAAATGAAAAAAAAAAACAAAAAAAAACCTGAGATTCTTTTATATTTGTAGAAAAATTATGATTATCTTCTTTTATGTTTGTGTCAAGATAGAATATGCATATATCGTATACATTTAATTTATAACTGTATTAATGTTTTATTTTGTTTTATCAATACTTGAAAGCTTTATCGCAGTGCCACTTTCTCATTAATCTATAATTGTAGGTAAAATCACCATTGTCATGCTTTTCACGTTTGGCAAAGTCTCATGCCCGTAACTAAATCATGGCCTTCTTCCAAAATTCTCATTGAAGTACGACTATAACTATAACAAAGATTTATGGGTGAACTAAAACGTTGGCTAATTATCTGTAACTGGGCGGTTTCTCGTTGTAAATAAATGATTGAGCTTTGAAGACGATCTCATCCGTATGCAAGGGAGGCCTGTATTAATGGATATCATATAACTCGGCGAAGAAAGTCCCTCCCTAACACCTTAAAAAAATTTCAAACCATAGCAGGTCACATCCTACTGACTTTATTAATTCACTTTTTGAGTAAATGAATTTCTGATACTGATAATAAATCTATCCCAAATTATCACCTAGGTACATCATGTGGTTCATTGGTACATTGATGAAGAGGAACGCGTCTCTTGGGGGTAGAGAATCATCTGAAATACGCATCACTGTCACGTAATTAAAGGAAGCTGTCAAATTTGTCTGGGTTAATTTAAAAAAACATTTAAAAAATTATACTCGTAAAGAAGTTTCATTAAAGACTAACAGTTCATTTTGCTACATGACCGCTGGTGCGTTCTTTAAGGCCATCAAATGAATTCACAAAATCTGAAACGAAAAAAGCAACTGGAGTTCATGAAAAGTTTAGAAAACACCCTGAAAGGAAATGGGTCCGGACAAGGACCCACCAGGGTCGCGGACTTAAAGCAGAGGTCCAAAAGGGCGGTGAACACGGAGCAGGCACCGAGTATGCCAGAACAAGTACCAGTCAGGACGAAATTTAAAAACCAGGGACCCACAAGAATGAAGGAGCCGGAACAAGACACGATCAGGGTGAAGGTGTCCGGGTCCGGAGATCCAGGACCAGGTCAGGGCCTTGGGGCCGATTTTATCACGCAGGAGCCGTTGAGTTGTGCCCACGTGCCGTCAAGCAGAGCTCGCGGTTCCGCCTCTGTCAGTAGCTCGTCCAGTGCTTCTCCGGTTGCCATTCATGGGAAAGAGGAAAACCTTGATACTCTGAGTCTCTCTGAGAAGTCTCTCAGCCCATCTAGGCATGCCGCTCAAAGAGGTGGCTCTTCGGTTAAAAAAGCAGAGGCCCACTCAGATCAGAAAAAGAACACCGACATTTATAGCCCATGCCCGAAACTTAACACCGGCACTGAAAACTGCACCTTGGCCAAAACGTTCAAAAGACGCATCCAGAACCAAAAGAAATATAACTACAACAGCAAACTCTGCGACGTGTCCATATTCGGGACCAAAGCCCAACCCAAAACTCGTGCAGATATCTCAACAGGTTCACCAGATTATATCAAATCATTCTCCATTTCACGATCTCCTTCAGCGTCTCAGGCAAGCTATGTTCCCGTGAAAGATAAGCCATCGCCCTCAGCTTCTCAGGCAAGCTATGTTCCCGTGAAAGATAAGCCATCGCCCTCAGCTTCTCAGGGAAGCTATGCTCACGTGAAAGATAAGCCATCGCCGTCCTCCCAAGACAACACCAAAAAGTCCTCTAAAATTGATGTAAAAATCACCGAGCCTGCTGAGAAGAATTGCTTAGATAATCCTCGCTCCACGCGTGTAGTTAGCGCTAAGAAAATATTCGAACCTTCGCCAGCCACGACCTCGGTTGATAACGACAACCAGTTACGCCTGAAGCCGAAGATGTCCACAGCGATACAGAGCATCCAGGAGCGGTTACTGAAAGAGATGGAGGAAGACGCGAGCAGAGTTAAAAAGTCGTACGATTCCACAAAAGTCTACAAAGTCCAGGCGCCGAGGCCGAAATGCACATGGACACCCGGGATGTTGGCTGGCGTGGCTAGAAAGCGAAGCCGTTCCCGGTACTCTGGGGCGGCGAGACGGGCGTCGCGTTACATTTCGCCCAACAAACGTGAACGGCCTTACAGGCAGTGGCTGGGGATGTCCACCTGCGTGACGAGGGACACAAAGTTCATCATTGCCTCGGTCCAGCCGACACCCGAAGGTGTTGCGAAGGAAGCTCCCGGCGCTACAAACACGTGCAGCGTCGGCACGCAACACGAGAGTGGGAGGAGCGTAAAATCACGGGACGGCAGTAGCCGTGAAAGAATGGTAGGCCGGGACTGTGGACTCACGCGACGGAGTTCGGCTCGACAGAGTCCAGACAGTCACAAAAGTTTGCCTAACAACAAGGAGGTTCCTATACTCAGTGTGCATACGGGCAGAAGTAATATTGTAAAACCCGATAGCAACCTGGTGAACAAATTAAATACGATTCAAAGCCCGGAAGGTGGAGTCACGGAAATTCCCGAAGAATTGCAAGAATCCATTTCGTGTGATTCGGGTCCTTCTTTACACGAATTGAATGATTTTAAATTGAAAGAAATGGAAATTTATGATCTCGGACTTGTTGAAACAACACGTTTGAAAAACCATTATCCAAATGAAGCTTTGGATCCCGGTCAAGTTGATGAATTGGTCGACGAGGCCGAAAATGTTAAAATGAATTCAACGAATATGACCAGGAGGGAACCAACGAACTACCCCGTTGTTGAATCTTATTCACGTGAGGGGGGTGACAATATAAAAACATCCCCTGGTTTGAGTAGGGAGGCTGATGGAGACATCAAGTCTGAACATGATTTTAGGGTATATGACGAAAACCTGACGGGAGACGCGATGTGCGATGCGATAGAAATTACCACAAGGTCAAGAATGGTTGAAACTGGAGATAATTTTAATGCTACGAGAATGGAGTCTTCACCTGAAAATAATCAGGTGACCGTGAAGGAACAAGAGACCGATAATTTAGAGCAGGAAAACATTACAACCCCAGCAGAAGATCTTGCGGATAACGAGGTAACAGAACCTCTGAGAGAAGATTTAAATACGCACCGAGTGGATGCTGATCGAAATCTGTCGACAGAGAATAACGAGCTAACGTTAAAAACTTCTAGAAGCAAACACGACTTTCCGTGTGAATCTTTTCCTATTGAGAATGGCAGTGGGTCTAAAACTGCGGGGGGCGCTCACAATCTAGAAAATATCCCCAGTACGCACGAGTGTACAGTTCCAACTATCTCAGTTTCCGAATCCAGAAATGAAGGCGAAATATCGAATGAAGAAGAAAGTGTCAATGAACCGCTAGAAGTGGAAGAGATTTCAGACAGCAGCTGCTCTTGTCCTCTACCGAATCATGCACTGGATAATTCCACCTTGAGTGCAACCAACCAAACACATTTCAAACTCGTTCAACAAGATACGGACATCCAACACAACCCAGCTACTCTGCAGTCGACAGCAAGCGCAGCCTGTGAAATCCAGGCCGATCCGCTAAATTCTCACAAACGACTGTATGGACACAGCGGCGAGATTAATTATCCCGTTAAGCAGAAAGAAACTGAATCCCTCTCGCAGCAGCCATTCCTAAAACCAAGCCCCAAGGTCGTCACATTCCTGTCGGACAAACCACACGAAGACAGTTTCATTAGCGCCAATATAGCCCACTGCCCGGTGAGCGGAGATAAGGTTTTTCATACAACTGCCAGTGAGAGGTGTCCAGCTCCTCAGTCCATCGGGGGCCGAAGTAAAAGTCAGCTCATTGGGGACGAGATCAACCTCATCCCCAGTTCTACCGGCACGATACACTCACTTCTGAGCTCACCCAGGGCATTCTCGTCCGCTAGACCCAAACAATTTTTTCGGATGAATGACAACAAAGCCACACGCTTTTGTGATAGGGGGGAAGAATTGCATCGAAGTAAACAAGACGGGAAGGACAAACCACGTGCACATGTCACTAGAGCGAACGATCCGAAAAGTCCAAAAGTCACCGTGGATCCTGCCAACATCGGCTCCAGTAAACATCACAAGAACTCCAAATACAAATATGTTCAGGTAGGTTGTGTGCTTTAAGTGTCTTAGATAATAAGGTACACATGTGCACATTGCAGTGCGTTAGAGGAGATCGTTATATACTTGTGTAGTTTTTTCATAACTTTTTAAATTAATCAGTAAGCCAATGTATGTCTCAGGGTAAGGCCCATCACGTTTTTTTTCACGCACATGCTCGTATAATAATGTAACGATATTTGCATAGGTTGCTGTAATGCAGGATATGTTTGCGCTGACCACGTGATTATTTCACAGGCCATCGCAGATTTTCAAGGCGTTCTCCCGGGGCAACTGAGCTTCAACAAAGGGCAGATCATCCGCCAGCGGTGCGTCCACGATGTGTGCGGCATGCGGTACGGCAGCTACCGCGTTGGAAGACTCAAGATGAAGAGGAAAGGTTTATATCCCGCTTCCTGCGTCACAGACTTCCCGCCATCAGACCAACAGTTAATCTAGTTGAGTCTAACAAATAATATACACATTATTATTTTTTTTTTTACAGGAATAAACACAGAATTTTGTCCGATGTTTAAAAAGGAAATCCCCGTTTGATAGAGAATGAATGTGACTTGAAAAAAAAAAGCCTCATCAGACCAACAGTTAATCTAGTTGAGTCTAACAAATAATATACACATTATTATTTTTTTTTTACAGGAATAAACACAGAATTTTGTCCGATGTTTAAAAAGGAAATCCCCGTTTGATAGAGAATGAATGTGACTTGAAAAAAAAAAGCCAGCACGCGATATAGGACACATGCAAGACAAAGAAAACTGGACTTCAAACAGCAACACAAACGTTTTTGAAGAAATATAACATACAATTTAATAAGCGTTGGTCGGTGGTTCTGTTCAGAATAACATGATCCATAACACAGCAGCAGTTGCAACACAGTCCTCAATCCATATCTTAACAGATTCTGTAACACATTTTTTAAAAGACTGACTTACAAAAGTTATAGGTAATTTCCCAATAATTTCCTCCTGTATTTTTTCCCCCTCTCTCTCTCCAGAAACTGATAAAAGATAAGCCACCATTTCCATGACTTTAGTTCTTTTAAAAAGTCTGACTCTGAGTGAAGTATTCTCACACCCTAGCTAAACATGAAAATCACCAAATGACAAATGAGTTGAGCTAAATGTTAAGGGCAATTAAAAAAACCAGAATCACAGATATTTTTAGATCACAAACTGGGTAAAATATTACCACATTACCAGAGTATTAATAATATCTTAAAAATCAGTTTTCTAACAAATATACTAATGGTAAAATGATTTAACACATATAATACCAATATGTCACAAAGTAATGTCTACATGCATACAAGTCAAAATCAGTTTAAAAAAAAAAAAAGGATTAATGAAAAACCAATTATTAAGAAAATTATTTGCAGAGATATGCATTTTCCTTAGAATATGCTCTCATTAAGATACATGGAGGTTATTTATTTCAATGAATGTTTCATTATCACATTCCATAATGAAGCAAAAAGAAATAATTTAATTAACATACTGATAGACTATTTTAACTAATTGAACATTTTCTTCAATAAACTTAATCTAAAGAAATTCAATTATAAAGCTGTTGGATTATTTACTTTAAAAAAAATTAAATCAGTACTCTGTAACTTAAACAATGAAGCTTATCAGTTATTCTCTTACTACAAGTTGTTAGTTCTACTACCTGACAACATTAGCTGGGCACCATGCTCAATAATTATATTGCTTTCAATCTACTTTGATTTTTTTTTTCTACAACTTTTCGTTGTATCAACTACTCGTGTTAAAGTTGCTGCATAGATGGGGTAGGATATAAACAAAAAGATACTGATATGGCATAAATAATTCAATTTTACTCCATACATTACATCACAGATCTGGGGAAGGAGGGGGGGGGGGGGTTTGGGTCACCAAATTGTGACTATGGGTGATAGTATCTAAATATGTGTGAACATTTCAGATTGGGTGGGGGGTGGGGGCGGAGGGTTGTTAATAAAACAGCCNAATAAAAAAAAGCTGGGGAAAAAATTATTGAAAATTTTAATGAAAAAAAAAAAAAAAAAAATTCTGCCATTTGCGGAAGCTTTGTGTCTCAAAAAAACCCCCCAGCAACTTCAGGAATATTCTAAACAAATCTATAAATTGACCTATCTGAGGGGAAAATTAATTTTATCAGATTTGTTTGCTGAACTTTATTTTCTTATTCACTATTATTGTGAAAAGGAAAAAATACTTATTTTTGCCTTTTTTGAAATTTTAATGCGATTTAATTAATACGTTTGTCAAATAATACTTTATTTCTATTTAGTCTAATCGTCACTCTGCAAATTATATATATGTAAGACATTAAATAAAAATTAAAATAATTCATAATTTCATAACGTAAGACTAGCATTAATGTGTGGGATTAGCATGTTAAAAAAATGGATCACTGCAAGAAAAAGTTCAAAATTTCATTAATTAATCTCTAAACATTTATAATTACATGTTATGTAAAAAATTTATTTTAACTTATACAGCTTTAAAATCACATTTAAAACAAAAATTAAAAAAATTTGGTAATAATAAATATTAAGTAATGCAACCGTAGGTGTACAATAAATAATGTAACGCACATCCACCCCAAAAGCATGATGCGTGCTTTGGTTGTAAAAGTAAAATCAACCATCTGTGAAACTTGATGATGCCCTAAGAATGTCACTGTATCTTATCTGAGGAAAAAAGTCTGTGACAAGTCTGGCCTGTCACAGTGTTGGCTCCACCAAATTTAACTCCAACATGTTTATTTCCATTGCAAAGATATCTAATAAGATACACTTGAATCATAGTTTAATTTCAACACACTGATTCTTGAAATGGCATCCCTTCCAGCTCCTGACTGAAACTAGCTTTAAAATACTTAAAAATAGCCCTTATCAAAAAATCATTTTTTGGCTTCAAACTAATGCTGAAAATTATGATTCCCCCAGTGCAGCACAGGAGAGAAAAAAACCATTAAAAATCAATCCAAAATATTCGAGCTCTTGGCTTGACAAGCTCATGACTTTTCAGCTCCATGTGTTCTTGCTGTGTCCTTGTATCAAACAACTACATGGGGGAAAAAGACACGATACATTATTAAGTGTAGATTTAAAAAATAATATCAAGTAGCTACACTGATGATTTCACAGCGGAGACTCTGGCAGTCAAACACAAAGTAAAAATTGGATTGAAGTAAAATGAAACTACAACGGCAAGAAAATTTAAAGTTTTTCTTGTGGGGGGTGAGAATTTGCTTTTTTGCTCCACATGTGTAAAAGCCTGCAGGGTGTGAAACAAGGGTAAGAGGTTTTCACATAAACCGACTTGTAGAAATCACCTCAACATTTTTTTTTCCCCAAAGACAATACCCTCAGCTCCCTGTTATAAAATTTTTTATTTCATAATAACATATTTTAATGATTATGTACCTGGACTCGGGTCAGATGCTCTACGTTGTGTGACGAGTGATTTTGGGGGTGAGCCCCAGTACTGATGTTGACTCTGAGGATCAAAGCATAGCGATAAGTATTTTTTTTTTGCTTTTTCCAAATTTTCATTAGCTTTCACTGACTTCAAGGTAGACATGAAAATCTAAAGACATGTAGGTCATTAAGATTTACGTCACCCTCACAATATTATTAACCTTTGGTATTATTAATTGAAAAGTATCAGTGTTTTTTTAAACAACTTCATTTATTATTTATATTATCACTGTGCGCTGAATAGTGACAATGGCAACCTACCATGGATAAGGAAATCTTTCTGCAGCATGAAAATATAAAAGAAGTGATAAGTGATATATATACTTTGTTTTAATTTATCTATGTTTAAATTACATTAAGTTTTAATATGATTTCTAAAAAAAAAAAAACATTTTAATTAATAAATTATTAATCACTGTCTCTAACAAAATGACTTGCAAAAATAAATGCACTAAATCTTTTGTCATGCTTCTATCATTTATGCCCTTTCCCTTCATTCAATAACATTGATTGAAAATATTTTCCATGAGTCTAACTTGTAGGTATAGAATTGAATTAGTTGATGATACTTATTTTCATATTATTTACAAATTTTTAAACTATATTTCACAGACTTTGCAACACTGATAAAACCATCTTTCATTTTTTTAAGGTAGACCCAACCACACCTGCACAAACTCGTGCTGTGATTGTTCCAAACATCCTTAAAATTAGGTAAATGAAAAATACAATACAAGTGTTCAATAACTTTAAAAAATAATTTTTGATGCTAGTGCAAACAAGATGCAAAAGTATTTTCAAATACATTTAAAAATTAAGTGAAGAACAAAAAACAAGAAACAAATTAAAGGAGAAATTAAATATGAGGTTAGAGGAATAAATTAAAAGAAAAGTACATAACAAGAAAATTGTAATGGTAATATTGTGATAATAAGCAAACGGAGAAAACGAGAATGAATAGATATAGGAACCACAATTTGAAAAAAAAAATGGGTCAAGCAATCCTTTTCTCAACACTGAACTCATTGACCACAAACCACATGGGGCCCATCCATAAAAAACATCACACATCAGTGGTGGTGGTGGGGGGGAGTTGTCCAAAATATTTTCCACCATTATAAATTATGAATGAAGCCGAGAACAAAACAGAAAGGAATGAAGAATGTAGGAAATTGTCAAAAGTATTACAAAAATTCTGTAATGATCAGAACTTGGTGAGATTGAAACAAATTTCTTCATTAAAGAACATTCTACTAAACAAACCTCATTGCATCAGAAAGTGTTTTAACTTTTCAAGACTTTTATTTCAGTAAATTAAAAACATTAATTGTAACCAAAGCTATGTCCGATAGGGTCAGAGTCATCATCCCCAAAGTCAAGAATTTGAGAATTCCTACTTACAGCATTTACCTGAGAAAAAATGGGAGGGATGGTGTGAAATAGTGCTGGGACTTTTCATTGAAGAGTCTGGACATTTGTTTGCAGTGCTCCAATAAAAAAAAATTCATGTTTTATTCAAACTCATAAAAATTGTTTTGAAATAATCTTTCTTTGGTCCATAATGAATGATCAACATGCTTTGGTTTGGAATGTAATTAATTTGATATTGAAACTGGTTAGAAATGACATTCACAGAATAATGTGCTTATAAATCTCAAGCATATATTTTGAAATGGGAAAATTTGAGTTGTACAACGCAATGTTATTTGGAGATATATCATCCAGACTCACCTTATCAACAAAAGGACATAGAAATTTAGGGAGTTGAAAAAAAAAAACAATATGAGGGAAAAATAGAAAATTAATACCGGTAATAAATTATCACCTCATAACTAGGTATAACTTTTATAGCAATGTTTTTCTAGTTCTGTGAAATGTCACATCCTTCCAGAGCATGAGGGTAATTTGTGAAGGTAAATCTCTCAAAAAAAAAAAACATTGGGAGAGATCAAAAAGGGTCAAACTGAGAGAATTCCTGCTGAATAAATACAACAATTCTCTGTTATTGTTTTCATTTAGTTTATTATTTTCTTGATCAGCATGGGGGAACGTAATATGTTTTTTTTTTAAAGTTTGATTGAACACTAAACAATTAAAATGAAAAATTAATACACTAAATAAAATTACCAAACTGTATATCAAAAACTTTTGATATAAATCTACATGATACATCTGATTATATTTTCATTTCTAAAAATAAGAAATTTTCTTGCAAAAAAAAAAAAAAATTGTTTGATTTTTTTTTATTTAATATGTATAATTTTTTTTTTTTTTTAGAGTTGACTGTTTCTGAATGTTATGTAATGTGGAAATGTCTTTTCTGAAAACCACAGACTTACAAATGTTTTATCTATTTCCTCAGTGTCTATTTGTCCTTCCTTGCTTACAATAGTTATAAGCCATGCTGGAGAATGAGACATGAGAAAAAAAAAGGGCAGGATGTTTGACAAAACTGACAAAGGTTGATGATTACTGGATAAAAAGAACAAAAAATGTAGGGCCCCAAAAAGGGCTAAAAAAAAAAAAAATATATATTTTTATCATTTCAACTTTGATAAAAAAAAAAAAAAAAAAAAAAGCTGGTAAATGAATAACACTTTTGAGTGCGTGAGATACCTCTAAAAATAATTAAGCCCCAGAGAAATTGAAAAGATTGGAAATGTAAGACTATGACTCTTTTAATTGTTCAGAAATAACATGTTGGAGGTTTATGCATATCTAGAAACTAATTTTTAATAATGAAGTTTACAAATATATCTAGAAACTAGGTTTTAATTACGAGGTTCACGCGTGTATATCGAAACTAGTTTTTAATTTAGAGGTTTATGCACTTGTCTAAAATCTAGTCTTAAATTACCAGGTTCATGCACTTGTCTAAAAAGTTTTCAATTATGTTATTGGAATATCTTTAAGTGTTTTTCAATTACTTAAAAGAAAACAATTCGAATGTGCAAATATAAATATAGCTCCATAAAAGAGTATCTAAAATTTAAAACAAAAATAATTAAACTATTCATTTTTTTTTAAACTTCAAGTTCATCTAATATATTTGACAGGTAGTAAAATCAGGTAGGATATCATTTTTGTTGTTGTTTTTTTTGTTGCTAGTGTTCATCAAACATCCCTTTAGCATTAAAAAATAATGTACCAAAAAATAATGTACCAAGTGTTGTGAAGAGTAAAAATGGCAGCTGATTTAGACTTGTCGTTTCAACATCAGGATTAACAAATTCATTCAAAAAAAGTATATAAAAATATTCTTCGATTTAAAAAAAAAAGATAATAAAAATTAAATTTAATTCATCTAAATGCCAACCAATTAAAAAAAGATACATTCAAGTGTTCAGATTTGACTTAAGTTTCTCAATAAGTAAATAATAATCATTTTTGTGTGCTTTTCATGATGTTTTCAAAGCAAAATTACATTCCATGATAAAAAGCCACCCATAATGGGAGCTTCATGGTGTATATGGTATTTACCCCACAGATTGTAAAATTAAACCCCCAAATTATGCGTGATGTTACTTTAAGATGAAACTTCTAGATCCATGAAATGAAGATGTCATTATCAATCGTGGTAAGCTCGCATCTACCACTTTCAAAAATCTTCGTTTTAGTTGGGATGCCAAGGATTAAACTCGCAACCTATCACGTTCCATAAGCATCCAGCTCAGCTACACTCTAAATAGGCTGATAAAATATTATCACCTTGGCATCAAATTTTTTTGTGTGTTGCTTTTCTAAATTACACTTTTAGATTCTGATAATATTAAGAACAGCTTTAGACTTGTATGCAGCAAGACAACAAAAAACTTAATACTCCTCGCAATTTCTCGTTGCTATGAAAACATTGGATTACGGGTGACTAAACTATTAGTGAAAAAGATTTAGCACTACATGTACGAATACAACTTTTGCAAACAAAATTAGATAAAAAAGGCTCATCTCCTGCATAATCTTAGACTAAAAAAGCAATAGAACGTTCAACACACACAGGGACAAAAAGCTCAGATAAAATTTGAGAAGATAAAGGCCTAAGATGTAGAGTAATATGTAACCAAAGTGGTAAAGTATCGACGACGTGAGGCACAAGTTAAAATGGCTGCCTATGTACCTGGGGGTAAATACCACCGTCGTGTTCTTCCTAGAGTTGCCTCTCAGTCCTGAATGCAACACAGAAATGGAATTTCTTGAATTACATTGTCTTAAACAGAGTCCCACATTTTTTTATTTTTTTATTTTCCAATGCATAATATGAGAAGAAACAAAAAGTGAACTAAATAGTGTTTACACTACTTTTCTTCAGTTAAAAAAAAAAAAAAAAAATTAAGTCCATAATACCTACAAACTTTAGGGGATCATAAAATAAAAGAAGATCATTTTTCAACAACAAATAAAGCTGAGTAAATCTGAGTTATATTTAAATATCTCTAACTACCCCAAAACACAGGAGCTCCTAACCTAAGGAGGCATGCACCCACTGAGTGTGCGGGAGGCAGTGTCAGGGGTTGCGGGAAGACCCAGAATATCAGGTATATTTTGCATTTTCATTGGCATTTTTTTTTTTATTATGGGAGTGCGAGCAAATTTATTTTTGAATCATGATGGGGCTGCTGGGAAATATGTTTTTTAAAATTTAGATGGGGGGTACCGGAAATGTTTAGAAATCACGAAGGGGGGGGGGGGGGGTGCAGCACTGCAAAAATAGAAATTATTGGAGATATTCTTCTTTATTAAACTGTATTATTGCTACAAATGCAGGGCTCACAAAGAGCAATAGTTATAAATTTCAAAGTGATTTCCCTTGACATGCCCCTTCATGCAGACCCGCACCTAGGAAATTCTGGGCTCCAGACAGCTGACAGAGTTCGGGCCTCTTTCGTGTTTCAAACATGTGCATATATTTTAAAGCCTGTATTGAAAAAACTAAAAAAAAGGCCTGGCCCCGATCTAGCTCAGGCCTCTGACAAGTGCCATGGTTGTCCCCGCTAGGTGCAGGCCTGCTTCATACATTGTTTGGTTATGTATTGATTACATGCCCCCTTCAAATTTTATTTTCCACAGAAGTCATTATCCAGATGTCTAAAAGTTTAATAACAGTTTAAATTAAACTGAAAATTAATAAATGTATTTCATAACAATAACATGATGTAATCACAATATCTTATGTTGTTGGGATGTGCCCAGTCACATCATGCATTTAATAATGTTATGAGCACTAATATGTTTTGTAATGGTTGTCTGACTGACTTTCAAATTGAGACAGTCCACCTTACAACGCAGAAGTCTCAATTTCACTGCAGCTTTTGATTATTGGTACATAAATTCTTTTAGGGTTATTAATTACCAATAAGCATAGGCTGCAGTGAAATTTAAGTCAGTTGATTTGAATGAATATTATGAAAAAAAAAATTTTAAACATTAAATTGAATCCTCAGGATTTCATCATTTGGGATACATTACTTACCTGTCAGAAAGTATCTCTTTTTTCATAATGCTCAAAGAAAACATTTAAAAGTCAATTATCCAGAAGGCAAATGTGAACTGACTTGTCAGCCTACGCCTCAATGGAGAATGTTAGTACATATCCACTCAAACATAGTGTAAACTGATATTAAAAAGTTGTTACTGATCAGGCTAAACTATATTCACACAAAACAGGATGGTGTTACCTTGATCAAGAAGACACAGCAAGACGTGATCACACACTTTTAGTCAAGCATTGAAGTAAGGGTGGGGAGGAAAAGTTTTAATGTGACGGTAGGCCAGACCCTAAATGGTAGTCATATGAATTTTAGATGGAAGCACCTATGAGTGTAGCGGAGGACCAGGCAGAATAGTCTCAGCACCTATGAGTTAGTGGAGGGCCAGGTAGAATATGGAGCTTATTTAGAAATTCCTTAGAGAGGCAGAAAAGCAACTAGATTTTTCAACAAAATGATTTTTTTTGGGTCTGAGCCTGTTCACATCTGTTAACATCTATAATAAAATCATTACAGGGCTAAAGAAAAGTAGGAATTCCGACGGCGAAAGTCATTTCTTTAAAGAGGAAAAAAAGTCCTCAAGAGCAAAGCTTATTAGCATGTAGAGTAACCCAAAGCCTTCACTGCCTCAATAAGGTTCAGAGGGACTACTTTAAGGAAGAAGAATTTTTCACACTCAAGGCAGATGAAAAAAAGCAGTGGGGTACCTAAAATTGCCTGTGGTGGGGTGGGGCCATCCTGGCCCACCAGAGAAACGTCTTGAGTCTCTGCTGGGACGGATGGCCCAGTCAAACTCCTGCGCTGGGAGCGGAGTTTCTGCCGCCTGGATGTTCTTTTCCCAGTACCATTCTCTCCCCCTGACCCTTTAGTTTGCTGACCTTTGGCATTGATGCTGGTCCTGGCTGCCTGAGTGTTGGATTTCCTTCTGCTCAGGCTGAATGGTTTCCTTCTCCTCTTGGGGTTTGCTCTGGAGAAAGAGAGAAAACAAAACAAACCATGTGGCTGAAATATAAATTGAAATATAAAAGTGAAAACTTTCCCCCATGAGGTGGTCATTCAGGATGGTTCCCATGTCTCAGACACAGTAATGCTTGATGTACAAGCACTTTAAAGCTATTGTTTGACACAGACTTCCTAAAACAGAACATAAAAAATAAAAAACAACCAGGTCTCGGCATCCAAACTATGGTTCATGACCTACAACGGGTTTTCTTTGTGGACGCTAGCTGAAAATTTCTCAAAATTTAAATTTTATGAGGGTCTTGAAGTTTGAAGATCATAGTACTCCCATTTATGTTAAAGTGTTTATGTTGAGAATGAAATAAGCTCCACCATTTAACAGAAACTCGCCCCTCTCCCCCCTCGACAGTGACGAGGCCATGACACGCAGTTTTGGCTCATACCAGCAGGAAGCCAGTATAGGAACAGCTCGTTCCAGCCAAAGATAATCAGGGACAGGAACAAGCTTCCAAAAGGACACTTGAGGTGACAACACTTGACACATTTGCGTCTATTGCCTCATGCCTTCCAACGCCCATTGCTTCTACATGCGTAGGAGCCTGAATGATCAATAAATTGATTGTGGGCCCTTAATATATAGATGAAGAAGAAGTTTTTCAAATTTCAAACTTGTTTAAAAAATTGTACGGTTGTCAGCCTGGGCCAGGTTGATGGCAATAATATCGAGATCCTTATAAAGTGCATTACATGTTTTCGCATTACATGTACGCATGTTTTGTCAAATTTTCAGCCCAACCTCTCATTGCTCTGTATTGCATTTGATATAGGACTTATAAGAAAAACTTTGTTTTTAATGGGCTATTTCATTTTAAACCTAATTCCCCATTCATAAAGTTTATAATAATGACAGAACATATTTTTAAAAAATTTGATATCCATAATCACAGGGGAATTTATAATGTGGTCAGGAAAATCCCAGACCTATTGTCTGTCTATAAAACTTGCAAGGACTTAGTTTTGAATTGAAAACAGATGGACAAATCATCAACAGGATGTATGAATTGGAAAATGTAAAAATTAAATATGGAATAAAGGAAGAAATACATAATGATTTACAGAACAAGCCTTACAGCTAAAACTGCCATCCGCCAGACACCATTAAAAGGACAGAGGAAACAAGGAAGAGCAGTGAGAGAGGAGCTAAGTAAGTATTAAAGTAAGTTTTTATTCAGATACAAAATGTGAAGAGAGCTGTGCCACATGTTTTCTCCTTGACCTAGCAATTACATGGCAAGAATGTGGCAAAACTTTGCTGGGCGATTGCGTTTACTTTGTTTATTTTTATCTACATTATAAAACAATCCCTTTGCCGTGTCGAGTCTTTGTTCCACTTCGGTTCCTGAGTCTCCATATGGTCCTTGTTTACCCAAAACTAATTAAACAATTATACTTCAAACAGTAAGCTGGCAGGTAAGATTGAATTAAGAAAGAGAAATAGTTTTACCCGGCAGCATCACGTCCTTCTGTGACAGGGTCATCAGCATCCTCTGTCATGGATGTATCAGTGTTGTCCAGCATGGCATGGACGGGCTTCGGCAAAAAATCCAGGTCGTATATTTCATCAGTAGGCAGCTGTCTGGTCGTTGTGTAAGATGGACATGACCACGTCTGCCTTTTATTGTCCTGCGACATCAGTGTGCTCATTGCCTGATCCTTGCCCGGCGTTGTCTGCACGTTGAACCTAGATCTGCCGATCGGCAGTGGAATGCGAGTGGATGCCCGTCTATTCACCTGCAAAAGAAAAGCTTGCCTTATATTCAGTCAAAATGTTCACTTAAAACTAAAAATGATAAAGTTCTTTTGTGATGCAGAGATGTGAGGCACTGAACTGATATGTTTGGGTACAGTCCAAATCTGCTTCTCAAATCTTTGCGATTTCATCTGATTTTGGGGAAGTATTGTAAACAACAACTTGTGTGTGAGTTTTTCCACTAGAGTGGAAGCTGGAATTTTGCCTAACTCCACAGCTCTGGTAGTAACATTGTAAATTCCAAACTTTGTGACAATCCCTTCATCTAAACACTTATCCCCTTGATAAACAGATTTCCCTTTGAATGGAAAACATGGTGAATAACCAAGTAATGGAACTAATGGTTATAACCCATAAAAAGTTTGTAATTTACGGCATGTTCTGTAATCTATAAAGGAATAATGGTAAGCCCGTCAAATTCATGTTATACTGTATACTATAACACACTGGATAGGATCTATATGGAGAATAAATTAATAACAAGATTTGGTACGTTGACTCCATTTGGGATAAACCAAAGCCACAATTTTACGTAACTGACATGTCTTTTTCCTGTTTGGTTTTTTTACATTTTACTTCAAACAACTTCCTTTCCATTATTCTTTACTTTGTTTATGTCTGGTTTTTGTGTCCACTCCTATCTTTCTCTTTTTTAGGTAGGATATATGTATATACATATTATGTAAATTTAATTTATACTTATTTAAATATTTTGTTGTTATACTGATAAAGGCAAGTGCCAAAACGTCTACTTATGTATTATGTAAAATTATTATTAAAGCTTAACATTCATTGTTATATTGACATCAATTTTTAGTGTCTAATTAATCATGTGATAGACTTTATGGTAATGACCTGCTTGAGATGATAGAACTTGCTTTCATCTCGGGACTGCATCATCGAGGATAACTCTTGCTGCCTGAAGCTGTGGCACAACTCTGGGTCTTGACCCTTGAACACAACCTCCCCATCCCTGACTCTCATGTTCGGCTCAGACGAATCTTGGCGGTTAAGACATCGTTCATCAGAGGCCAGGTTGATGGCGACCGGTGAGCTGTTCCTATGACCTTGGGCTCGAGTGGCTGACCCATTGTAAGGCAGGCGTCTTCGAGCGGACCGCCCCTGGGGCATCAATGAAGACCTCTGAGCTGCAACTCAATAACACAAAAAAAACAAATATTTTGCAGCACTTCTTAAACAACTTTTAACTCATCTTGAGTGAATAACTGAATGAGTAAGCATCAAGAGGACAGGGGAGACCAAAACAAAAACTACATTGCAAAGGGAGGTCAAAGAGTATGGAATACAGATCAGAAAGAATTGGAGCATATAGCAAGACACCTTGGAAAGATATTGGTCAATGGCCAAGGATTTGAAAAGGCAAAGATGAAGAAGAAGTGAATCACTGTGTTTAACTATGGGTATCTCTAACGATTAGACCTAGGATTTGAAAATGAAAAGATGAAGAGGAAGAAAATCACTGGGTTAAACAATGGTATCTTCTAAATGATTAACTTCACGGAAGTACTCCTTAATAGTCTTCCTTACCTTCTCTCACTGGCCCAAGCTCTCGTTTAGGTGGACCTGTTTGTCCAGAATTCTGGATGGCTTGCCTGGGATATAATCGACTTGATATTTCCAGGGCTGGCTTAAGTTTTGTTGCTGCATTCATTCCGACTGTTCCAAATTCAGTAATACTTGCTCTCCTGCTCTGAGAAGACCTTTTAATTAAAAAAAAAAAAAAAAAAGTATTTGATGAGTTTGTTTCATTTAATCATTAAAAAAATAATAAAATTGAGAGCTACATTAAAACCAGTGGCACAGCAAGGATATGACACCAATTATGGAAAGAATCATCCTTCAAAAACGTCTAACAAGAAAAGCGTTAGTTTCATATATCCACCTATCAGCTGAATTTTTATCAGTAAATATTATCCAAACAAATATAATTCATTTCCAAGGGTTAAAAGATTTTCTGGACTTTGAAAACAGATTTTATTTATAAAAAGGATAGAGTGAAAAAAAAAAAAATGAACGTAAGATAAAAGAAAATGTTTTTAAAGGACGCTTAATGCAATTGTAGGGATGTGGCCCATTCCAAAAGTGTTAAGATTTTATCTGAGATACACAGCTTAATTTGTGGCCATAAGTACAAAAATCAGACAACATAACTGAAATGCATATACTTAAGGTTGATGTCATGGCAGGGACATACCCAGTATTTTTGTTGTTTAGAAACTTCAGTGGCAAATTTCTGGGTCCTCGGGGGAGACCCCTGAGTCCTCTGAGGTAACGTCTCACTGATTCCCGCACCCCAAACAAGTTGTTGTGTTCTGTTAAGGTGACACGAGACCAAGGGTTCATATTCAAAAGGTCAAGAGCTGCAATAGCCACAGCCTTACCGACCTGAAGAGATAACAACAACAAAAATGTAACTTGCCATAAAGTGGGAAAAAAAAAAAAAGAATGATCAAATTTTATAGACAAATAAAGAATATTTAAACTGTTTCATAAATAAAGTTCTGCATTCAAGCTGTGTGAAGGAAATAGTGGAATAAGTTATGTGGAAGCTTGAAATATGAAGGAAGGACAATAAAACAATAACGGTTAGGCTGAGAGAATTCCTCAGCAGACAGGACAAATGAAGAAACAACAAGAAATAGAAACTAATTTAAAAACCTAAGTGTTCGCCTAAGTTATTTAAACTGGATTATCTCAGAGGGTGTTTGGTGACTTAAGAAGTACTTTTAGCAAGGAGGTCTCCAACTGAAGTTAGGGTTACTATTTCCTTAAGAAGTACTTTTAGCAAGAAGGTCTCCAACTGAAGTTAGGGTTACTATTTCCTTACTGTATAGGGGATAAAACATTTAAAAGACATAATATACAGAGCTATTTATTAAATGAATATATTGTTCAGTTTTGTTGCAAAAAAAGGTGTTGTTTGTATTGAATTAAGTATTTTAAATCAAATCCACTTCCATAAAAATTACGCATAGTATAGGTCACGTGCACAGACATCAAAGATAGTCACTACAAGGAGCTGGTTTTAATCACTTACATCTTCAAAGTGAGCTTGAGTGTATTTGGGCGGGAAGCCAGCCATTGGTGGAGGTGTGGCTCTCCCATTATCATTGGAAGCTGGAGGGACAGTATTTACCATACGTCCAGTGTTATAATTGCATTCTAGTGTATAACTGCAGAGTGTAAAAAAAGTTTATATATATATTTAAAAAAAAATTAATTCATACATACGACCAAAAATAAAACATTGAATTATGACATGAAGAATGGGAAGTCACTGGAAAACACAATAATTAATAATTGAACATCTGAAGTTGGGCAACACATTTTGACTCGCCACAGTACTCATTCAAACATCAAATCTCTGCCTCACAATTTAATGATACTATATCTAGTCGTTGTCATATCTTCAAGGCTGTAAAAACATATCATTTAATTGTTTGTTTTTTTTTAAATCTAGATGATTTTTAAGCACTTTTAACTTTTAAAAGAAAACAAAAAAATGTTAATTAAATCCTACTTTCACTGGTTTTAGGATCTGTTATTCAGCAAGCATGAGAAGAGGGCAGTCAGAGTTGTGAGATGAGAGAAAGTATAAGCGAAGTGTCAGCCTAATAAAGAACAAGATTATAATCATCAGATGTTATCACCTGAGTTGTTTCCTTAGTGAATGCCAGATATAGATGAAGGTTAGCAGAGAGCAAGCAAGGTTTCCTTACAATGGTATCCCACCGCTGCCACCATTGTAAGGAAACCTTGCTTGCTCTCTGCTAACCTTCATCTATATCTGGCATTCACTAAGGAAACAACTCAGGCGATAACATCTGATGATTATAATCTTGTTCTTTATTAGGCTGACACTTCGCTTATACTTTCTCTCATCTCACAACTCTGACTGCCCTTAGAGACCACAAGCCCTAAATGACTCCTTCATTAATCCATGAAAAGACTTATTTAGATTTACCTATGAATTAGACCCGTTGCTTTGTACACGGCCACACGGCCGCTGCCTTCTTTGGACATGCCATCCCTCTTGTCCTTGAGGTACATGTTCTTCTCAGAGAAGTTGCAGGCAGTGAAGTCAAAGTGAGCAGTGTTGAAAGCAATCAGCCGGGGGTACAACATGTTCTCAACCTTGTGCAAAACAGTCATCGGAGCACAAAACAATATCGAGATAATATGTTGAGCAGAGATGCATGCTTCTGTTTAATTATGTCAAATTGCATGTGAAGATTTTTATAAAGTTCAGAAAGGGTGTTAATAATTTAGTTATTTTTTTTCCAACCTTCTGCATTAAATTTTTTTTTAATATATAGAAAACAATTAAACAAATTATTTTTTCAACACTATAGATATGTGCAATTATTTTTTTTTACTATCCAAGATCATAGCTGCCATCTATTTTTAAGGTGTTTATCACCAGTGGAATTAATGTCTTGTCATTTGAACCTAAAATTACTACCATTGGTGCATTCCAAATCATAAGTAATTAAATTATTAAATCTAGACAGTGTACATACACCAAGTCAAGATTTCAATATCACATTTCATATCTTATTCATGGTTATAGACATATGTTTATATTTCATGGTTTATATATATATATATATATATATATATATATATATATACACAAGGATATATATATATAGATATAATTCATGTTATATATATATATATATAATAAGAAAAAAAAGGAGCCTTCTTCAATTATCCTTGCATGATTGAATAATTTTTTTTTTACTATATTACTACCATTGGTGCATTCCAAATCATAAGTAATTAAATTATTAAATCTAGACAGTGTACATACACCAAGTCAAGATTTCAATATCACATTTCATATCTTATTCATGGTTATATACATATGTTTATATTTCATGGTTTATATATATATATATATATATATATATATATATATACACAAGGTTATAGATATATAGATATAATTCATGTTATATATATATATTTATAATCAGAAAAGAAAGGAGCCTTCTTCAATTATCCTGGCATGATTGAATAATTTTTTTTTTACTATACATGATTTACACTCTTTAGTTCATTTTATAAATATGCAGATAAAAATTGAGTGGGTGTATTTCTTTTGAATTCAAAGAAAACACAGTCAAAGCCATTTATAACAATGATCAAAACTGACCTGTATGTCTTCATTCTCAAAGTAATTTCCATAAATAAAACAACCCCGCTTGGAGGCATGCCCATGCAGGTCCACGTACATGGCTATCCCACTGCATTCTGGGGAAATTTTCAGCAGCTCTGGGTCACGCAGATGTGGGGCATTAGAGCCATCTCCGATCTCAGCTATTTCTATATCCCCTTCATCCTCGGACCCTTCATTTCCCAAATGTTCTGTGATTGTTTCCATTGCTTTGTAATCATCCTCATCATCATCTGTGTCCAAGCCAATGCAGAGCGCACCACTGAATTAAAATACAAAAAAATTCATTTAATCTTTCAACATTATTATTTTTTAATAAAAATCTGCTGAAAGATTTTAATGAAATTTAATGTAAAAAATGCCACCCAGTAAGGTTTTAATTTTATATGTAAGTTTTGTTTCTTTTGTTTGTTCATGTCATGTTGATAGGAAATGAAAGCCAGTGCCAATTAAAGTTATCATTATAACCCATTTGTTCTACTAGAAAGAAGAAAAAAATACAATATGTGGCACCTTTCCCTGACTCAAAACAAATCCATGTTTTTAGTAGAGTGCAAATGCAACAAAGAGATTGCCGAGTTAGAATAAGACTCGCCTGTTCTTGTTGAACTCCTCTGACATTTTCAATGAAGAAAGCTTCAGCCTGAGATCCGAGTCTACTCGCAATGCCTCATTCTGTCCCATTTCAATTCTTTGTTCTTTTGAATCAAACAAGCTAATCTGTGCAAAAAAGGGACAAAGAGTAAAAATGTGTTAAGCTAAGCATGTTGTTTGCAGATCACAAAATGTGAATCAGGCTTGCAAGATTCTTAAGAGGTTAGTACAAAAAATGTTGTGTTGAATGTATGCATAGGCAAAACATTCTGCACCCAATGAGAGCAAAAAAATATTTCAATAATTTTTTTAACTTAAAAGAATGCTAAAAATGTTTCAAAGAATATATTTTAATATCCAAATTAAATATGTTGGCTAAATAATTCACTTACTTCATTAAAATTATGTACTAAAAACATAAAGATAGCACACTGATTAAATCATTAAATAAAAATACACATAATTCAGTACGTGTTATCATCATTATTTACATTTGTACTTGCGATTATAAAAAGAAAACAAATTCTCATACTACCCACAATGCTACTGTCTGAAGAGGAAGCTTCTGCTGCCAGATTGTTCATTGTGTAGTCAGTGTCATCCAGATTGGCAAGGTCCAGGGGCTCCACTGATACTTGCTCCTTGCCATGGTAAAAATTATCTTGGTTGTCCCCTCCTGGTTGACCTACTTGCTCTGATGAGTCCTTCCATGAATTCATGACAGGGCTCAAGGATGGAGCAGGGTGCTTGGTGTTGTAGAACTCAGTTTCATTGGTGGCAAGGGGATGGTAACCATGGTGTTGTTGATGCTCCGGAGTCACTGACGAGATGTGCTCTGCAGTATTCCCTGAGGCAATGTGCGCCACTTGAGCTGGCTTCAAATTTTTATTTGCTGGATTTTGTTCTAAATAACAGGTGTCATGCTGCTGGTGATGGTGATACAGTTCTACAGTTTTCTGATTATCCTCCTGATAATGGAGGCCTGTTTCTGTGTGTCTTGTCTCGGCTAGAGGAGGCAGGTACGCATTAGGGGCATGGGCTGGCCAATGGATGTCATCCCCATACATCCCATGTGAAATATTGGAACGATGACTGTCAATATTATGCTGGTAATGCTGTTTGTAAATGGGGGCTTGCTGTGTGCTGATGCTGTCTGGTGTGCTCAACAGGCCATCTTCATTGAAGGACTCAGACAGCTCCCCAGGGTTCATCAAGGGGGACACCCCATGGTTGTGCACACTAAAAGTTTTGGCAGAGTCGTCGCAGTTCTTGGCAGAGCTTGAGCAGGAAGAAGTGTAACCGATAGGGGGCGATGGGATTCTTTCACCACCTGGAAAGGTTATGTTGATATTATCAAGGCCATTTTCTGTCCGAACTCGATCTTGGACATGGTGGTACACAATAAGACTTTTAGCAGCGTAAATAGATGGGTGGGCCTCAGGGCTGGGGTCAAGATAGACACGATTGAGATTAACACCGCGGGGGTCTGTGCGGTAATAGCCCCTAAAGACACCATCTGGGTTCAACATTGGTATAAGCTTAAAGACATACTGTTGTCGCAAACTGCTCGCCCGTGGGTCATTCTCTCGTAAGATAAAATTTAGAAAACCATTGAACACATGGCTTGCTGGGGTCTCTCCTGGATGGACACGACTGCTGAGTAAAAAGACCTGTAAATATATATATAATAATTTGTTTGGGCAGTTACAAGATGTTTTCACAACAGGCTAGTGGTGAATTTCTGACCAAAAAAGACCTCAGAAATGTATGTCCTGAAATTTTTCAGAGAATAAATAATTTAGAATACCAAAATAATTGGGTTTTTTAACTGCAGATGATCTCACCTTCATTTTTCTCTGGTTGCCCTTTAGTTTTTGTTTATGCTGATAGAAGTAGCTATGCAAGGGCATCTTTCACACCCCAGGACCAACCCCACCCCTCCCAACCTCTACCTTGGACCTTGGTCAAATATGCATGTAATTGTTTAATTCGAGCGTTCCCTATGAATATTAATATTAGTAATACAAAAATTTACAATTAAAAAAAAAGGTTAGAAAATTATTGACAATTGAATAAAGATAAATGAATAACAAAAAATTTCGCTAATAGTTCAAGAATTCTTAAATTTTTTTTTTTAAATAAAAAAATAAAAAATTATCTAATCCAGAAATCATTAAAAACATGAAATTAGTGGGCCTATGATTTAAAAAAAAATTTGGTTATTATTCTAAAAGAAATCAAACTTTTAGGGGAAATTGCTTCCTTTCCCCTCAGTGTAGACACCCCAATAACTATTATTATTATTAAATTGGTCTTATATAGTGTGGTACCCCAGCCTAGGGCTAGGCTCACTGCGCTTCACATAAAATTAGCAAAAAGAAAAATGACATTAAAAAAAAACTGTGACATAAAATTATTAATTTAAAAACAGTTTTGTAAAAGATATTGATCTCGCCCACCCAAGTACTATTTATGGCACCCAGCAGCATCCAGCATTGAGGACAGAGGAGGGAGAGAATGAGTGGGAATAATAGCGTTTGAAGAGATGCGTCCTGAGTGCAAATCTGAACTTTTGGATGATGGAAGGTTTAAAAATAGAAATAGCAAGATCTTGATTAATCAATTTTTGAAGTTCTCTCTTAAGAGCTGATTTGCTACATTTCATATTTAAATTATTTGAATCCATTATTTTTTTAAATCTGCTTTAACCATTTCCAATGAGTGCTGCTGCAGCTAGTTATCAGCTATCATTCTAATACCTTTTTTCCCACAAATCTTTTGCACCTGGGTCTCTCCTTGTCAGGGAAGAGATTTATATCAAATTTGGGTTCCTCTAAATCTGTGATCCCATGGCAAGATGAAATTGTGATAAGATCGACTCTCAGCTTGTCTAGGGAATGACACAGCAGCTCACGGTGGTAGTAGATCCTCTCAGGGGTACTGGGGAGATGGACAGGTGAAAACAACAATGAAAGTATAGAGCTGAAATTAGCATAGGAAAAACTAATGATCAGCTAGAGCTGGAATTAACATGGGAAAACAGCAATTATCAAATGAAACTGAAATTAACATGGGGAAACCGCATTACATTGAGTATCTCAGAATTTCAGTGTACACACGTTTTTGAGTTGTAGGTCTGACAAGAAGAGAACAAACTGTCAAGGTCATTGAGCTGATTTTGACTTTCTCCATAAGACCAGGGGGTGCAGAACGCAAAGTACACAGTGCCAGTTTTGAACTCTGGGAAACGGTACGTGAATCTCAAGACAAACTGGTTATCAACCGTCTGTTGAGCGATGGAAATAAATTACTGTCAACATTTCAATGGTTTGTTTGTTTGTCAGTATTTGAAATATTTGCAGTCTGTTTTCTTAAATGATTGATAATCAATATATAATATTATGCTATTAATATAATATTATGCTATTTGTCATGTAAACATATGCAAAACCAAATAAAAAGTTCTTAATTCATTTGTTTTCTTCCTGATTTTTGTATGATTTGTTTAATAAATAGATACAAAAAAAATAATGTATACAGCTTTTTAAGAAAATTTTGTTTTTAAGTCTTAATGAAATTCTCAAACACAAAATTAGAAACAAACCTCAAAAGTGGGTCTGTCTCTAATTCGCTCCCACTTTGGCTTTCCTGGCAATATTCTTACTATTGGAGCCAGACCCTGGCTATATAGCTTGCCTTGTTTGTTCATGTTCATTATGTTGATTTTGATCACTCTATTGCTCTGCCAACCACGTATGCCAAAGTAAAACCAAGATCTGTAAATAATATGGTGGACTCAACTTTATTTGATTATGTAAGATTAGGAGGCAAGTAGGAATATTTGTAAACAAAATTATATTTATTGTTTTTATTCATTGTCAATGACATTAAGCAAATTTTAGAGTGTAGATTTTTTTAAATATGATTAAATGATGGCAAAGAGAAATACAATTTTTACTGCATTTGAAAAACATATTTTTAATTGCTCCTTAATTTTACATTCTTTGAATTTTTCACTTTAGTTTCATGAGATTTCTAGTGACCACACAAAAGAGTCAATTACTTTTGGAATCCATGTCTTAATTAATGATGTTTTTTTGTTATTATTAATATTATTTTTTTTTTAAATTTTAAACAATAAAACGGTGGCCCTGGAAACTTAAAACTTTGATCATCGACTTCTACTGCTGTTCTTTTACTGGGACTAAATGTTTAACTTTTATTTTACTTCTAATTTTACATGTATATAATTTTTTATTTTTTTATGAAGAGGAAAATGGAAAGAAAAATTACAGGTATTTATTTTACCTGGTTAAAATTATTTACACACAACTTAACACATCACTGGAGAATTTAAACTTTATGGTTCTCAATTTGACAATTTCTTGTTTTATTAACAAAGGTAGGCCTCACTTGATTCTGGCTCTAAGCTATTTTCCTCAGTAGATTCAGATATAAATTGTATGCTTTTTTCAACAGTAATTTTAAATTTATATTGATTGCACTGCCACATTGATTTGCTTCTGACAAAAAAAAATGAGATTAAGATGGCCTCTCTTGATTTAGCATGACATATGTCTTTTGAACTCTCAAAGCAGTTAAATATTATTAAAATCTCTAAGTTTTTGTTATTTTTCTTCCAAATTTATGATAAAGAAAACAGAGCAGGTTAAAAAAAATGTTTAAAAAAACAAAATTTTATGAGCACAAAAAAACCTGCATACATAAGTAAGTCTACATTTTTTAATAAGAGAAATGAAATGAGTTAAATAAACAAATAAACAGTAATAGGCAAGTAAAAAAATGTGTGCATCCTTTATATTTCTAATTTAGGACTATCCATAAAAGTTGTCCCCATGGGTAGGGAAAATTTAGGAAGACCAATTTGAGGATAGTTGTAATACATTTTAGAATAAAATATTCAGTGGTTGCTACTGTGTTCATGCCCAAAGAATCTTGAAATTAAGAGGCCTACCTATTGGGGTTTTCAAATTGTGTCCCTGCACAGTCTGGATTAGTCCACACATTGAATTCATAATCAGGTTTAATCTCCACCCCTGAGACTGTTTGAACACCATTAGCTGTAAAACAACCCCCCAAAAAAGCAGTTTTCAGTAATGTATGAAGCACAAATTTAAAAGTATAATATTTAAAGATGTATTTGGTAAATATAACTATTTGATATATCCAAGCCTGAAATTACTGTTAAGTCTATATACTGCTTAAAAAATTTGTCTTTTCCAGCAACAAGACAATAAAAGTGATATTTATTTATTACTTCAATGCCATTTTTAAAAAAAAATGTCTCTTTACTTTAAAAAAATATCATTTAAATCTCAGAATATTAGGAATAGTTAAGCTATAAGGCAAGAATAAAATAATATAACTTCCTTCATGCCATATAGGACTTTGTGATCAGTTTAAAAAAAAAATTAATACTTGTACTGAATCAGTATGACATTATTTAAAACATGATTTACAATACACAGAAACCTGATATTTAAAATGAACTATTATACTCACAAAATTCAGTTCCTTCATCATCTTTTGAAACCTTTTCCACTTTAGCAAGATTTCCAGAATCAAATTTGGATGTAAAGCAAAGGGATCCAAATTTTATCTCCATGTTTGATTAATTGAATCACCTATTAATTACATTAGTTTATTAGTATTTTTAGCCTACAGGGTTGAAGAGAGATTTATAACCATTTCAACTTTTATTAATTCCATTGTTATTTCACTATCTGCCATTGTATTTTATTATTTATCATTGAATGCAAAATATTCTCAAAAATTTAGATGAAAATCAATAAACTCATTTAAAAGTGAACTGCAACAAGAAGTATCCTAATTAATTCATGTAACATGGCCATTGTGTTGTGGTGTAAAGTTACTAAAATGTGTGACTTTGAATAAAAATATTGTTTTTAAATAATTAAAAGCAAAAATGCTTTGCCTCATTAATCGTCAGAAGTTTATAAATAATTTAATTGCTAATAGAATTAGGCTTAATTGCCCTAATTAAAATAAAGATAAAAATACTAATTATTGGATTTGACAAAGTTTTCAATTGTGTTGGATGAATCTAATTTGGACATTTTAGAGTTATATATAAATCAAAAATGAAAAATAGTATCGATTATAAAAAAAGTATAATTTGAATGAATTTGATTGGTTGTTTTTAGTCTGATACTGATTGTCAAACATCAGTGAAAAATTCAAATATAGAGGCATAGCTAGACTGTTTAGTGTTTGATGCCCAGGGAAGGTACTTCCCGGAAGAAAGGGACACTCCTAGAAAATTTGTATCGGAACTGGGCGTCGGTGGTATAGAATTCGAGTTTTTAATTTTTTTATATGTATGTAATTTTAATAGAACAGGAGTCCTTTTGGCTCATGATTAAGGTCTGGCTCCACCCATTCACATTAGGAGAAATGTTGACCTACATTCCCATTGAGTTTTTTTTGTGTTCTTTATATCAACTTTAAGTGAGCAAAATCATATGTCAATATAAGGTATATTTCCCTCAAAAATTTTCATAGGAATTTAAATATCTTGTCTTTCATATTAAATTCTGCAAAACATTATATATTGATGTATATGTGTGCCAATTCTCATTGATGTTGGTCGTGTCCAACGTTCGCTACGTAGCATGTCCAAGTAGCCTGCATTACCGTAAGGTTGCTCAGCCTAATTTAGATATGGCGTGGGCCATGCCCCCTTTTTAAGGGAGGAAGATGTCAATTGTCATGTAGACAACGTGTTTACATCATATTTCCTCGTGCTGTGAACTCTCTCTGACCCAATTTGGCTGTACTGCGGTATGATAAGTTGACCTTGGCTATAATTAAAACAAATCCATGGCCTGTTTCAGGATTCGAATATTGCAGAAAATGGTAGAAAAAGCCGGAAGTGAGTACAATGTGTAGATTTCTAGAATGGTATAGAGAAACAGGCGATAGCGGTATATAAAGCCGAAGGGCTGACTGACAGAGGAAGCAGAGAGCATTTTTATCAGGAGTTCTTTTTACTTTACGAGGCGACAGGCTAAGAGTTATTATCAGAGTGTGTTATTCTTGCTGAAATTTTGTTAACTTATATGAGTGAATTCCTATTCATCGCTGTTTTTTTTTTTTTGGTCACATTGTATTATCATCAACTGTGTATCGGTACAAGCAAAACAGTACTCTGTAAGTCAATGATTTTAATTATATTTATTTTGTAATTTATTGGTAACTTAATAAAACTTATTAATTGTAATTAGCCCTGTTTTGAGTGGCGTATCCTCTGTTATTGTTTTTATCATTTGGTATCGTCATTTGTTATGCACTGTTTTGGAACTAGCCATACATGTAAATAGGAGATTCATTTTCTCCATACTGACAATGGTGCGTAACACTGATACTTAGAAAATATTTAATTTTTATCACTATTTACATCAAAATATTAGATAAATTATGTTTAAGAATGAACTTAAATGTTATTGAAAGATTAATATTTTAATTTGAGGTGAAAAAACCCGGTAGAGTCCATATTATAAATGATCATAATTTGTTGTTTGCAAAATGTCATGGTGACATTCACAGTAACTTGCATAACGGCTTTACTGTACTACTTTGTCAGAGTTTTCATTCATAAAAGTTTGCTGTGTGCAAAAACTAATAAACCAAGTCAGTGAAAGCTTTAATTAATTAGTCATGTGCCAAAGTTGAAAGTTCACAATAAGTAGTTCCCAAACAGTATTTTAGTAATTAGGGCATGAGTTGCTTTATATAGACTATTTAGCATATATCGGTATAATGGAAGCCGTAGATTTGGTAAACAGAAAATATATATATTATTACATTATATAAAATTTACTGATATAAATAGTGCATAGTTGATAAGCTACAATGTATCTATAATTATTAACATTATTAAAATTATTTGTTAATACAGCATTAGTTCTGAAAATAAAATTCGTCTCACATTATGGCTGTTTCAGATTTAGCGACCTCCGACGACTTTGTTTTGAATTCACTCCCCGTATTTTTTTGTTAATAGAGTTAAATTTTCCAAATTAAAATTTTATTGGTTGATTAATTTTAATTTTAAAATTTTGATTGGTTGGCTCATTATCATATTTGTTTTGGTCCGCCATATTTGATATATTTGGGGTGCCTGTGGGGTGTGGAGATTTATTCATTTTGTGGCTATATTTTCGTTGGGACCTGAAATAATGTGTGTAAAAGTGTATTTTATGAAACTATAAGTTGGATTTTCATTATTTCTTTATGTTATAATTATTTTAGGATTTTTTTACATTTTTTGGTTAATTTTTATCGTTCGCTTGCCACAGTTTGTAAATTCCACGTGTTTTTACTTGTGACTTTAGGTGTAGTTTTATGGTTCAAGTTAGATTTAGCTGTAGGGATCGATTTAGGGTTCATGTTAGCACCGTTAGGCATAGTGATCGATTTAGGGTTCAGGTTAGGCATAGAGATAGATTTAGGTTTCGGGCTAGACATAGGGATAGATTTAGGGTTCAGGTTAGGCATAGGGATAGATTTAGGGTTCGGGTTAGGCATAGGGATAGATTTAGGGTTGGGGTTAGGCATAGGGATCGATTTAGGGTTCAGGTTAGGCACAGGGATCGATTTAAGACATTTTTTTCATACATTTTTAACGTTTTCTTCCTAATTTTAGCAAACATGAGTTATTTTATTTTTCCATGGCCGCCATCTTGGTTGCCTCGACCCGTGAACATGTAAAAGTGCGCTGGTGGAGGCAACCAAGATGGCGGCCATGGAAATAGACGCGGGCTGCTCTCTCTGAATTTACCAAAATTATCATTAAAACAAGAGTTATATATATAGCTCATGATGCAAACATCGGAATTGGGTCACAGAATGTGGAGATGCGGTCCATGTTAAAAAAGCACAAATGAAGTTGTACTTTAAAAAATCGTAACTTTAAAACTACAACAGCAAAAAATATGATTTTGGTGTTATAATTCTTAAAAAATTAGCTCATTTTATCTATGCAATTGGTTTATTTTGACAAAATGTTTTGGGCCCTGGACTAACTTTGAATTGAATCACAGTAAACGCAATGGAAAATTAATTTTGATGGTATATGAAATCAAAGGAGAGAAGAAAGGGGTAAATTACGCCATTGAACGAATGGCTGACTCACTGAATGACATTGATGACACTTTCACAAGAGGGTCGACCAGAATGCAGACAAATCGTACCGACAAATCAACAACTGACTTCAATGCAAAGAAAGTCTTGATTGTAGACGGTCACATTCCACGAATGATTCGTCAAGTCCGTTTCTGTTTATTTACAAACAAACACATCACAGAATTATCACATTTATGGTAGCACCAGGGTTAGGATAATTTCTAGAGGAGATCATGAATGCATTTTAAAAGCTAGTTTTGGATGCGAGCTTTCCGTTTTGATTTCATGTAATCAACAAGTAAAGTGTTGTCAGACATGTTGTAAACTATCATGGTTGCTGGTCACGTGACCTTGATTTTGTAAGGCAATTGGCCGGAGATAGCCTTCTATTCGTTTCGCACTTATTACTTTTTAATGTGGATAAAAACACCAATATAGATCACCAAATCATATGTTTTCGTTAAACTGTTGCTATTGATTATCAACAACTTGTATTTATTATCTTCATGGTTTTCTGTTCAATTAAAATTGTACCGTTTAACTAAGAATATTAAAAAACAGTTCTATAATATGAGAATTAATTAATAAGTCATATTAAGATTTTAAGTTTAAGATTTTTTTTAAAAATCTAACAAGCCCCAAAATGTATTAACATTAGCCTCCTGAGTCCAGGCGTGCAGCCCACTGGACATTAGTTTTCTATGTGTTATTCTAACTTGGTAGCTAATTTTCGTTTGGATCCTCTTGTGTAGCCTGCTGGACACATTTTTACACTAGTTTGACCTACTTTTACGCCGAGATAGACAATACTAAATTTTAAGATGGCCGACAGAGGGGCAGTAGCTTCGTGTTCAGGGGGTGCTGGTAAGTTTTTTGCTATTATTTATTAGATTTAACCCAATCTAAAGATTTTAATGTTGTTTTACGACAATTATATGTCAAAGAATACGAATATAATAGGATTTTTATTCATATATCATTAAGTCGTAGTTTATTTCATCATTGAAAAAGGTGTTCAGTATACTGGACACAGGACTCAAATCATAACAACAACACCGGTGATACGGTGACGACACACATAAGAATTAAAGGCGTAGTCATAGTTCTATGCAATCGATGTCATTTTCAGCTGTGTTTAAATGGTATCATTGTTATCAAAGTAATTACTCATTTAGATACACATATCTTAGTCAGTATTTAGTTAGATCTCTTATGTATTCTTTAAATTTATTAATAGATTTTTAAATAAAAAAAACAATGAAAATTACCTAGTACCTAGACCTATTCACTAAACTTAGTACTAACTAATAGTAGTACTGTATCTCAAGTGGGAATATTTAATTTAGGCATTCTACAATATTAAGGCCTTATTTAGTTTGTTGAAATTTTAAGAAAATCCCTGATTTTGATAATTTATCATAAAAATGAATAATAATAAATATATTATTTTCATCATGCAAACTGATTTTTTTTTTTTTTTTTTTTTACAGTTGTAGGCAATACTCAGAGAAAATACCACACAGAACAACAGTTGTATGTGATGTTTGAACAATCGTCAGATATCAGAGAAATATCCTCATCCTCTGATGAAATCGATATAGATGACGACATTGATTACAATGAATCAAACTCTGAAAATGAATCATCTGAAGACGAAGAACCTTTGTCCAAAGACAACAAAAAAAGTGAAAGTCGCTCCCTCTGGCATAACCAATTTGATCCTGATTTGTCAGATGTTAATCTCAAAGTTAACGAATTTAGCTTACAAAAGATTCATTCACTTGCATTTGGTATGAAAGAGTTTGAAGCAGTTCCTTTTGGAAACCAAACACAAAAATGCTTTGCTAGTTGAACAGCGCACCCTGCATTTAGCTGAAGATCCTTCTCTGCTACATCTTGAAAAAGAATTCGAATCACTATCTGGAATATCAGAGAGATGGGCAACTTGTTAATGAAAACCTGGATTGGGCACAGGGACTCTTTTTGTTTTCCTCTATATTTTTCAAAGGTGAAGTCATCAAATGGAGGAGTGCTTTTTGCAGGCTTAGTTGCTCCATGTCTTCTCGGTCCCAGTATTGAAACTATGCATTTACAGTAGCTTGGTCCAACATAAGGAATATTACTCTGATTGACCATTTGGAATTTATTGCTCAAGTAGCGTAATAGCCCCAACGTTCTGTCACACTAGTCGACACCTCCCATGTTGTGATTACATTGTTTTGTTAGACATGGACACTGTTCCTCTATATAATTTTTGTCCTTTTTTGACCATAGTAAACACTGTTTAGTTGGAGCCATAGATTCTGCAATATTTGGCACCCTATTTGAAGTTGTCCAGTACATTTGTATTGAGGGATACATCAGGCAAGACATCTCCATGCTAATTCCAAGAAAATTTTTTATTTCTTCGGCTGTAACTGAACCAGTATGCAGATTGGTGAAAAGTCTGTGTCTGTGTAGAATTGTTCATCAAAACATTGATGGAAATAATCAAAAGGTTCAACCCTGCAACATTTGTGATTGAGTTTTGTAATCAATTGTTTGTTGTTTTTTTACGTATGGCAAAAAATGATTTGGATCCCGATGTCCAGTGGACTGCACATCAAATAAATCAAATATCAAAATCAAATTTTTTTGTTTCAATGTTTTTTTAGCATTTTAGCATCACTTATAGCACAATAAAATAGGTGTCAAGTTGATTTCACTCTAACTTGCCTCTCGGGACTCAGGAGGTTAGTACTCATTCAATTTAAAGAATCTTACTGTCAGCGATGAATGTAGCACTTCCGCTATAATTCTGGATGTACTCTCCAAATTAGCGTAATTTTTAACTTCAAAAAGTGCAAGATTGATAAGGTTTATGTACTGTTGTATAGCCCCCAGAAAAACAATTATGCAGTTGGCCTAAAACGCCATCACTGTAAAAAAGAAGAAAAGAAATGCCCCTCCCTCTTTCCTACGCCCCTGATTATACATATTATGTTTACATAATTGGTGTATACATACATTTTGGTAACACTTATATTAATTCAGTTGAAGCTGTTTCAATCAACTTCCTCTTCGTGTGTGCCCCCCTCACATTTATTTTGTAAATGTGTGACGTCAATTATGAATGGCATAAAGCTTTAAAACAGGTTCATGGATTGAGACGTTGCTTCCACGTTGTGTCATAGTGGGCCATGGCAAGGAGAAATGCTTCCCATTTAAGCCTACCTTTCACCTGACCCAAATGTTGCTTCCACTTTGTGTCACGATGGGACAAGCCGGTGTCAAGGTTGATATTGAAAGACCAGGAAAATTCTATCCACCTATGCCAAAAAAATTGATGACCACTATGTGTCATTCAGTCGAACAGCTATAATTTCATTGCGTCGCAACCCATTTGTTGAAAGAAGCGTTCATTTGGTGGTGGTCTTCCCGTGGCTTCATGCATTTTTAGTTCATCCAACCTCGTCACCCATACGGTTGTTCTTTTTAAAATGTCTGTTGCGGGTACAAGACTCCCAGCTTGTTTACTCCTTTGCTAATATTTTTTTTTTCTGTTCAGTAGCGTAGGAAAGGTGTTTAGAGAAGGCGGTCCGCTCCAGTTGCCACATTTTTCTTTAAATGGAGCTGCAGCATTTTCGGACCACTGCAGAGGGTGTTTTTTTTCCCCGTGGAATGGGGCGACAAAAATCTTGGCCCGCACCAAATGTCACTAACCCTAGTTACGCCACTGCGCCTGCACCTTTTTATTTATTCGAATTTATATATATATATATATATATATATATATATATATATATTTTTATAGAGAGCGTGTTTATATCATATTTCTCGTGCGTGCGCTCTGATTGCCCCCGCGTGAGACGCTGTGTTCACACAGGTGTGTGT